CCCCCAAAAAAAAAAGTGGCAATCAGACAAAGAAAGTAGCAAAAGCGATCGATGGCAGTTTGTATTTAGACAACTTTTCACTGACCCAGGTAACATATATTTCACTAGTAGAATACAAGCTCAATTTGGCCATTTAGACAGGGGGAAAAAAACCAATTCATAGCTGATATAACAAAGTTGAAGTGTGTTGAGTGTGGAATTTGTGCATGGAGTGTCAGTCTGGTAGGACCACAATCACATTGTCATTATTTTGATCTATATATTTTTCTATTCATCAAAATATATTCGTCATCCTTTGGAAATCGAAAAAAACTCAGATTTTGATTTTAATAGGTGCAGTTTATAGCAGAACACCATTGACATTTCATGCTAACCGGGGCCATGCTTGTCTGCGATCAACGAAAATGCCTTGAACAATGGACGCAGTTTGTTTTGTTTACCGCGCGTTTCTCCACGATTAGCTGGTGACCCAGATACGCGCATCCGGGCAAAGTGCCATCTCTCTAGTATTACTGTAAACTCTCTGGTATAATCCCACCTATTCGCGCCAGGTAGAACAGAACATATCCAGGCGATGAATAATGTGATCCATACAGGAACTTGGGTTCTGGGAGATCAGGCAGACGTTCCTGGGGAGATATTTAGAGAAAACATTTTTTTTTCATGACGGTGTTTTACACCCCTATTGACACAATCTAGATCATTAACGGCTGGTGGGGAACCTAAAAATCGTGTTTTGGGGTCAAATTATGCAAATTGAGGTTATTACACGTTATAGTACCTGAACATTTCCTGAACAATATCTATAAACGTATGTAAGCCTTGCTACACCCCAGGTTTTTCTGCGAAAGCACATGTTTTCCAGTCTTTTCTTAGCTTTATCGGCTGTTTTCTCACAATTCTATTTTTTCACACATTATCCCATTTTTCTGCTCTGTTTCTAGTTCAATTTAAATGTAACTTTCACAGGATACCAACAACACCTAGGTCTAAATTTTGGCTTGTTGAATTTTTGGTTAATGGAGTAGTTTTTTATTTATGGGCTTAGAAAGGATGAATGTTCCATTTTTTTTACCTTTTTTGCAACAACCCAATTGAAAGTGTCATAAAATAAAAAACTAAAGCATATATCAAAAATTCAACAGGCCAAATTTAAGAGCTACATATTTGCTGTTGGCATGCCATATTAGACATGAATCAGTTAATAAATAAGGGAATAAAATGGGATTGAAAAATGTACACAAAATCCAACATGGCCGCCATTTCCATAGCAACTGATTCACAATATATTTTTTGAACTATTGATTTTACAATCCCCAATAACACACGATGTCCCACAGCAAATATGGGCACTCTAGGCCTTGTAATAGCTAAAGTAGACCTCAGGTGCTTCTGACCCTGCCTGTCGCGGTTAAACCAGGCTAAGAGGGATACAACATTCCAGTAGAAAGAAGGTGATACTCAATACAACAGTTTACTGAGCTTCAATAAACCAGACAAATGAGGCGCACAGAAAAAAAATTAAGTAACCTCTTCTTTTTTTCCTGTTAAAATATATCAAACATAAATTGGAGTTGGGTGGTTGGCAAGTTCTCTTGTGTGGTTTGCTCCTTCTTTCCTAACAAAAATCTATCGCCCGTATGTCTCTTCCTTTTTTTTGCACGTTACTTTCTAATAACACTTCTTATCTTCAGCACTTATATGACCTCTATGTGTTGATAGTGTAGTGAAACTCGTATTAAAGCTAAAGACATAAAATTTTAGTAGGCAGTTCAGTGAACGCGATCAGCTCCTGGCGAAATCGGCTCCTCGCCGCCCGTACAAAACTGTGAGCGGCAGATTGCGTCGGCGATTTGGTGACCTCAGAAAATCGCGAATTTGTTTCGTTAAATAGTAATAAACCACTACTTCCGATACATGTTTTTGTAGATTTTTAAATCATCTACAAAATGGCGTCTTCCTTTAGCAGATCCGACTAGTAGAGCCAGAGATATTTTGATTTGAATTTAAGCCAAAATTCAACGTTTGATATCTATTTCCCAACTTGCCAGGCAGTTTTGTAACTTTTCTGGCAGTTAGAAATATTCTTTATCTTTAGAATAAGCCTAAAATGGCTGTATTTAGCCTTGTCTAACGGCGACTAGAGCCAGCGCACTTCATAGCGAAAGTTGTTTTTCTTAGGCAGCATCGGCGTGCCGGGGCTGGGCAATGAGTCGCCTTAGCACAATCCGGTAACATGTTAGTGCACCTCTTTGGCAAAGCCAAATGTTATGAACCGCTTCAGCAAATGAATCAGAACCACTTCGGCAAATGGGTTAGCATCACTTCAACACTAATGTGTGCACCCACTTCGGCAAACGGGTCAGGAAAGAGAGTTTTAAAAGCCTGAATTCGGATGTTTCATTGAGAATTATCCGGTTATCCGGATATGATATCCGGATTTTGCCCACCTTTAGTTCTGGGTCATTGCCGCATCGCACTTTTCGCCTTCCTAGTAATCCTAGTCCTAGTTGTTTTGGGGTTTTTTTCTATTTAATATTTCCAATTTTTACTGAACAGGAGATCATTGGAGCGTACCCATGGTATATCTGTTCACAGATATTATTATGTTTAACACTTGTTTTCTTTTGCCAAGGTCTGTGCTCAGTGATTTTGACTTTGAGAAGATTATTTTTATTATAGATTCTAGATTTTCTAGAGACAATTTTAAAAAATTTTTATTCTTTTGGCCCACAGTTGCACATATTATGTATCATGTATAATTTGTGCAGTTAGCTCTTACTAAAGTCTTACATTCTTAGTGTTAGTCTTTGATTTTATATGCTAGCTTTTTCTCAAGTTTCGTAGGCCCCTCTGTATTATCATTTATAGTCTTCGTCACTCGTAGTTGATTTATCTTTAGAAAATTCTTTCCCTTCTTCCTCAAACTATTCATCATTACTAGTTTTATGTTCACACAACTGTCTGGTCACAATGAAAATTATTTGGAATGGCATCTACGATCTAGTAGGCCTCTTATGTGATTTTTTCGTGCTTGATTTTTACCTCAATTTGTTCTTTTCTCCTTTTCTAGAGCAGTTTGACATTTTGTTATCCTCTTCTTATATTTATATTCTGTTTTAAAAATGTGTTGAATAAGACGATCAAAATGATACATGACACGTGCACTTCGGACTATTTCTTGTTGAAATATCATCGCTTATTTTCAAATTCATCCTTTTCCGGACACATGAAAATTGACCCCGCTCTAAATCTACTTACCATGTTAAAGAGATTTATGAGACAAAACTGTTTCTGTTTCTTTCATAATAATAATAAATAATAATAGATAGCATTTGTATAGCGCATATCCCCGCTCAACAGCAGGCTCTATGCGCTTTACACTATATTATTACCCCAGCAGACCATAGTACACTCCGAAACATTCTCAGCTTCCCGGGAAGCATACAGTGCGAGCAGCCGATTAAGCGCTCAAACACTAACAAACTGACAAGATCTTTCGCTGTCTATAGCCGGGTACCCATTCCCACCTGGGTGAAGTGAGGAAAATTCGTGTAAAGTGCCTTTCCCAAGGACACAACGTCGGGCCCTTGACGGGATTCGAACCCACGACCTTACGGTTGCGAGTCCGAGAGCCTAACCACTAGGCCACCGACGCCACATGAAAGTACACATAATAACCTTTGATTTGATGCTAAAAACAGGAACATATCTTTACAGGTTGCGAAGTTATGTACATTTTTGTCGATTTTTGTCCTCCTTTAGTCACAAAATGCAGTGCAAAAAAGGACCAGATTTTGAGCGAAAAATAAAGTAGAAAAAAAACAATAACTTCTCAACCAATACAGATATTGACAAAATTCAAAAAGCACCGTGATCAGTGTGGCAGGACTTTTCCTTTGAGCCTATTTTCATCTAAATCTAACAACTTTGAATTTTTCACTGAACTGCCTAATTTTAGTATCATTTTCATGTAACTATATATTTTGACGATCACAACAAAACACATGACGAAAATATCCTAGAGGTGTCTTCGAAACCGACTTGGAGAATTTGATCAAGCTGAAGACCAACCTTAATTCTCTCCAACCTGTCTTCATTCAAGGCACCAATTGGCTTGCTCAAATCTCTGTACACCGACTCGTCTTTCAAATCTATATAACATAAAGAAAAAAATGCAACACTATAAAGCCCATTGCTATCGTTATAAATATTACAGAACTTTCTATTTATACACATAAAAACATACTAACATTGACTATTCACAGCAAGCTCAAGCTAGTCAGAAATGTATTTTTTTTCCTTTCAAAGAAAAACAAGATAAATATGTAACTCTTATACTGCAAGTGTTTAGTTCACAGATCTAAATTTGGACTGTGAAGGATGAACTCAATTAGATCACTGTTGTTACCTCTCCTAAGAATCGGTAGGTGAATTGTGGGATCTCCCACTTCAGTTGGTAAGTACAGTCAAACCTGTGTAAGACGGAATCGCAAGGGAGCGGGAAAAAAATTATGTCTTAGACATTTTCCGTCTTACACAGGGCAATTTGGGGGGGGGGAGGTTGAAAGGCCCAGCCGGTGGGATCAAGGATCGCTTGTCCGATCGGCAAGCAGCGGTCAAAACTTCACACCTCTCAGCTGCTATCCTGTCTGACAGTGACATGCGTCAGTCTTACGTATCCAATTACCATCAGTGCTTGCCTTTCATAGGATCACAGTTTGACCTATTAAAAACAGAAACGTTTGAACATCTCCTTGGCTTCCACCCTTAGTCCCACCCACCAATGCCACTCGTCACTGCCATCAATGTAACAACGGTTCGAGGAACTCTTTCCTCGGCTGGCCGTACGATCAGGGCAGCAGGCATTGGTCAATCTAATTTCACACCTCTTGCTTCTGGTTACCCAGGAAAGTTTTCGTAGTGGCTCGCTACTCGAGCACTCTCACGGGCAGTCATGAGATATCACACCCACACTACACTGACCATCTGTGTCGCTCAGGGCTCACATGATGGGGTAACTTCTACCCCATTTCACCCCTACTCCCCTTCCTTGTCCAGCGGCAAGGCCATGGCGTTAAGTTTAGACCCGGCGGAACCAAACTTGCGAGTTTTGTTTCAAATCAGGGCTGAGAGGGCTGAGCGGGCAAAGCATTTTCCGTCTTAGACAGGTGAAACACTCGGAAGGGAGCGGATTTTTCTTTTCGTTTCCGCGTTGGACAGGTTTCCGTTTTATACAGGTAATTAAAGAGGAATATATCAAGGGGGGAGCAGGGAGATTCCGTAAAGACAGGTTTCCGTTTTACACAGGTTTCCGTTAAGGCAGGTTCGACTGTAAATAAATGTTTTCCTCATTCAAAACTAATCACAGCACAAGAAATGTGAGTGATCACGAGACAAAGATCCTGTTCCAGAAGTACATTGCTACTACAGTCGTAATTCAGGGATGGAAACTGAGAGAGAGAGAGAGAGAGAGAGAGAGAGAGAGAGAGAGAGAGGGAGAGAGGGGGAGAGAGGGGGAGAGAGGGGGAGAGAGGGGGAGAGAGGGGGAGAGGGGGGAGAGAGAGAGAGAGAGAGAGAGAGAGAGAGAAGGGGTGGGGGGGATGAGGGCTGATAAAGAGAGACGGGGGGGGGGGGGGGGGGGGGGGGGAAATGGGAGATAGAGAAAGATAAAGAGACGGAACAGAGAGAGAAAGAAAGAAAGAGTGAGAGAGAGAAACACTTTCTGAGAAGAGAAAGGAGACAGGACATCTGGTCCCATTTATGGAAAATGACGAAGCAAATCAAAATTACGGAAAATGTCCATCCCTGGTAATTGTCTGAGATGGCCACCCATTGTCTAGTAGACATATGGTTGTCATGGACAGGTGGACATCTTGGACAGTGCAATACTAATATTAAAAAACAAGCAAAACAATGCAAGTGGGGCACTAGGAAGTTAACATATATACAGAAGAATTATCTTAGATCGTCGCCTCAGTACTATTTCATCCAAAGCGCTTCTTTACTTAAGTACACTTTGGACAAAAATAGTTCTCAGGCGCCGAGATGACTGAGCAAGTTTAACTGTATTTCAAACCAACAAAAGCAGGTGACAAACATCATTGCTCGACCTAATTGAGAACTTGTGTAGTCCTGTATGACCCACGGCATGACTGGGTACTGAGACAGATCGTTGAAGCTGCGGTCTGCCAGGCTGTGGGGAGAGGAGGGGAGAGACAGTAAATGGCATGAAACCAGGAGCCAGTTTCTTTAGCTTATATTATGCAGTACCAAAGATTAGAGGAGGTGTAACAAGAGAGTAACATACAAAAAAAGAAGTTTTTAGTTTTAATAAGAGTTTACGGCACTTGCACACAAAACAATAAGGTCATATAAGTGCCCAAGATTAGAGGTGTTACAAGAGAGTAACAAACACAAAAAAGGAGGAGAGATCAGGACGATATATGTTTGATAGGAAAGAAGAGAAAAAAAAAAGGAGAGAAGATGATGACAGCTGCTTGATAGGAAAGAAGGAGCAAACCACACCAGAGCCCCCACCAACCACCCAAAGCAGCAGCCAAAATAAACTGTGCGTGGAAGTCAACAGCGACTACATGAGCACATTTGTGCATCTCATAGTGAGAATTTATCAAGGCGAGTCAAGTTCAGTAGCTAAAAGAACAATGATTTTCTTTCCATCATCGGTTTATGCCCCCCCACCCCCCCCTCCATCCTTTTCCCCTTCCTTTTCCCTCTCCTTGTACATTCTCTATTTTCCCTTCTTATCTCATCTGTTTCCCTTTCCTCCCATCAACAAAACCAATTCAGTAGAAACTTCCCTTACGAACACCTGTCCAAGACAATCACTTGTACAAACAAACACTCCCCACTTGCCCTCTTGTACATTATAATGACACTGATCAAGACAACCACTTTTCTCATTGACAATGGGTGGCCGCCTTGGACAATTTCAACTGTACTGACAAGCTACAAAGAAAACCACTATCAACTTTTTTTTCTTACCTGTTCAAATAGAGGAGATAATCATAATTAGAGATGACCCCGCTCTGCCACTTCAAGGTCATATCCTCTTGACCTGTGTCCTCAAGGGACAAGTCTGAAAGGAAAAGAGAAGCCAAACAATTTGGGAATAAATCTTCACAAACACAGAGAGAAGTCTTACATAGACAGACCTGCCACTCTATGAAACCTCAAAATCAGGATTTCAGGGAGAAAAAATCAGGATTTGGTGAAAAAAATCGGGATCAACAGCAAATCACCAAGGTGACTGCCAAAGCAAACTCAAAATTTTTCCTGGGGTGTCCATAAATTATTTAGTCTATATGCCCTCTGTGTGTCTTTGTTTGCGTGCGTGCGTGCGTGCGTGCGTACGTGCGTGCGTGTGTGTATGTGTGCATGCGTGCGTGTGTGTGTGCGTGCGCGCGCGCATGCGTGCGAGTTATCATTCATTTTTGTAAATCCTGAAGCATCGCGTCAAGCACTCCTAGTCCAAGTGTCTTACCCGCCCCCCCACCCCTACCAATAAGTCCCGAAATACATGAACTTAAGTTGACCCCGTCAAAAGACGGTCCCCGACACCCAAAACTCACACGGCGATGTCATGTCACATGACGCGAATGCACGATTGAAACAATTTTACAAACGGGTCCAACTAACTGCACGTTCACACAAAACACTCAGATGAGCGAGTCGTTCTACTTCTAGGATAACGACGGCGGCCGACCGACCACATGTACCAACAAATCTCTTATCCCTCATAATGCGTTCAGACTAAGGCAACGACAACGGCCGTATGTTTGTCTTGTCAGCGCAGTTACATGTAGTTGAGTAAGGGTTAGAAAGACTGTTGCTCGTCCGAGTGTTTGATGTGAAAGCGCAGTTACCAGACCTCGGACAAAGCTTGTTTTGAAAGTAACAGCGGAACTACGAATATTATCGATTATTTATATGTACCAAATTGTAACAGTTACCAGGCTATCATCGGAGAATTCTGAGTGCGGGCAAAGATCACACACAACTTGGGGCGAGTCAACTACTAAATGCGGCATCGATATTTCAGGAAATAGTGCTACTGACAAAAAGTTCAACGGGTGCTTCCCGCGATAAAGGAGAAGGCAGAGTAAGTTTTTAGAAAAACCCGGCACAACAGCAGACTGGGACAAAAAAATCGGGATACACGCGATCGAAATCGGGAAAATCGGGATGATTGAGATTTGGGGCAAAAAATCGGGATATCCCGACTAAATCGGGATGAGTGGCAGGTCTGCATAGAGCAGAGTATTGCTCTTTTTATCCAGGTTAAAGCTACTCCATCCAAAATCCGAAGTACAAAGGTAATCATATGGGGAAAAGCAAGAAGGTAAGTTCATTCAGTGGCAACCATGGGGGTTGAGACCAAAACGATGTGCCAAAAACATTGTTGCAAGCGACTCAAAATCTGAAGAAAGCTGAGCAGTCTCATTTTCTTTTTTTACCCTTCCAGTCCCATGCGTGTATATTTTCAGCAGCGCTTGTACCTCCCACCATCCGAAGAGCATACATTTCATTCTCAGGGGGTACCGAATTTGAGCATTTTCTTAAACTAGCGAACCTAATTAAACTTTAATTTTCATAACATTTATTCATTTTTACCTTTAAACATAGTTATATGTTATTATCTAAACCTCATTGCATAGATACTACATCACTTTTTAGAATGCACGCCTCTTTTTCTGAAATAATGCCGTATTGGCTGCGACTGGGGTTAGGGACTGAAAAAAAATGGCTGGGGCTGGAATGGTTAATGTAGGTGCTTTTACACCCTCATCGATACAATTTAGATCATTTAGGAGGTGGGGCTTCTGACCCTGTCTGTCAGGGCAAACCATTGTTGAGTGGGATTCAACATTCCTACAGAGAGACAGAGACAATTGATGAAAATTCTCCCACCTCAGGAATCAACCTCATGTCTCCTGCTTACAACAGCAAAGCAGCTCATCATTACACACAGACACTGGTATTTTACAATTAGTTTTAGTATTGGTAAGTGTTTTACAGCACTTGCAACACAATAAGGTCATATAAGTGCCGAAGATTAGAGGTGTTACAAGAGAGTTACAAACACAAAAAAAGAAGAAGGGGAGATAAAGATTATAGATGTTTGATTGGAAAGAAGAAGCAAACCACACCAGAGCACCCGCCAACCACCCACTATATTACAATAAAGAAAGCTACTTACAGCAACTGACGGCAGAAAACATGGGGAGACAGACCTACCTGGCAGGCTGAGTATCTCCTCATACAGCTGATTCCGAGACTCTTCCGTGTTGAAGGCAAGATACAGGTGGGTCACGGGAGCTGTACCCCCACAGTAGATCTCCAGGCCCTGCACAGAGAGTTGGGGGGGAGCGGGAGATAAACACGAAAATACAGTTGAATTGTTCAAGACTTATGATCATTGCAACATCAACACTCACACACCTGACCCTGCACAATTTTAAAAAACATATTTTTCAGGAAAAATTGCATATCATGTATTGCAGGAATCAAATAAAGCAGAAAGACTCTTAGCCTGCAGCCCACTGGTTAAAATCCTTGATCTGAAACATTCAAACAGCAATCGCCTTTGTGTAACTGGATGCACTATTAAAAAATTCATAATACAGTCCGACTTTCTCTACCAACCACCTGTCCCAGACAGATTGCATGTAAAAAAAACCCACCACTTACAACTTACGCCCCTTGCGTTTTTTCTACATTATATCCACTGCTTAGAGCAAGACTCTGCCATACCCCATTTTAAACAGTCTTACATTGAGTCAATGTTAACATTGTCCAAGATGACCACCTGTCAAAGACAACCATTTTTCTCCTTGACAATGGGTGGCTGTCTTGGACAATTTCGACAGGTACTTGGAAGGGACAAAATGACCCAGTCAGTTTACACACTTCTGGGTTATTTTTACCTGACACTTCCCACTTGAACTTACCAACTGCCTTAAGAGAAAGCGGCGGCAAATCAACCGCTTGATGTCTTTCAATCTTAGTTTCAGGACGGGCCACTGGAAACAACAAAAAGAGCAAAAATTATACCTCACCAAGACAGCGAGGATTTATTTGTCTGGGGGGGGAAGGAGACCAATATGGTGGCAAAGTCCAAAAGTAATCAAAATGCTAAAACTGAATTAACAGGTCAATATTAACAATTGTCTTTAGAAATATGACTGCCTGACAGACAAGAGACATTTTGTTCAAATAACTATACATATACGTAAGAACTCTTTACACTGTGAACTAAACAACTTATAATTGACTAACCTTCAATTCAACTGTTTGGAGAAAGAAGGAGGAGGAAGAAGTGGGGTGGAGACGGAGAGAAGGAGGATGTGGAAATGAAAAGAGACAGGGAGGGGGGGATGATAACCTGAAATATATTTTAACAAAGTGAAATAATTTTTCGCAGCTAACAACAAAATATTTTGCCATTAGCAGTGTCATAATTTCCTGTATCTGTGCAAATAAAAAGGTTTCACAGGACCCCTGGCTTAAAAATGTCATGACTCTGACAAACAAAAGGAAGTTGACAGACCCCAAACCATTGTCATTTTGACCCAAGCATCAACTCAATTCCATAGAAAAATTGTTAAAATTGTCAACTTTGACATCAAATTCTCCAAACTTATACCTTATCAATGTTATTGAATGGCTGGAAGTAGAGGCGACTTGAGGTAAGCATGATGCGTCCAGGGTTCGTGGCAAGGGGAGTAATTCTGTCACCACGAGTCTCAAGAATGATCTTCTCGTAAATGTCTTCCAACCTGTACGTTTATGAAGAATACTTCAGAAGACTGTCATGACTAGATACGACAAACTTCCTTTCCCTTGTACTGTCTCGATAACATCATGGAGAATAATAATTCAAATTATAAATATGTTTCAATCCTCCACTGTTGACAAAAATATAACCTTTCAGAGCAAACTTTAACTGTAGAAAAACCTGTAGATGTTCTGAGTGCACGTCTAAAAATACTAAAGTGCACTAGTAAAAAAACCCAGCAGACACATAGTTCTAAACGTGCATAGTATGCTACCAATAAGCTGCCTCCCATATGGAATTGTGCATACTGCTCTAGCCTAAGCAGAACTAATTATTTTCCTCTTAATTGATTTGTGGACATAGATGGTGATACATACACAGTATACGACATGTGCTTAAAGATGACTACATTCGACAAATCTTCCATCATTTCCCACATATTATTTTTTGTCAAATTAACAAAGCCAAATAAGATCTTGTCTGTTAGTGTTTGAGCACTTAATCAGTTTCTTGTACTGTATGCTTCTTGGGTAGCTGAGAATGTTTCTGAGTGTTCTACGGTCTTCTGGGGTAATAATAGTTGTAAATCGCATAGAGCTTGCTGTAGAACGTGGATATGCGCTATATAAAGGCGATTATTATTATTATCATTAATATAAGCATGAAAAGGAAACAGAAGTGACAGTAAAAACCAAAATTTTCTCACCAGCTGGTGTTGAACTTCACTCTCGACTGCCTTGAGAGCATGATGGCATTCAGCTGTTGAGAACACCAGTATCAGAGTTAAAAATTGACACAAATCTTTAAGGGACATCAGCAAATATCATAACAGCCAGCACTGTAAAACCCTAGAATGTTTAGAACAATTTGACTTCTTTTTTACTTCACTGAAATTAAGAAGAGTAGTCAGGAACCATGAAAATATTGTCTTGAAAAAATGAAAATGCAAAAATGAATATGAGAAAGAGGAATAAAAATGGAGTGTTGTATTAAACTTTACATATAAATGATAAAAGAATCACTGAATTAACAAATTCAATTTCTTTAAATCATAAACTTTTTGTATAACATTCCTACAACACAAAAAAGACCAATTCTCTTGTACTTAATTAGAACCCAAAGTAACAAAGGATATCAATCAGAAAATATTAGATTTTTTTTTCATTTATGTAGCAACTAATGACTACTAACGTCAAAGAATCATGGCAGCAATTCATATACAACTAGTAACCGTCAGAAAGATCTTTATTCCATACATCTGGCAGAAAAGATAAAATATCTTTAACTCAATGGAGACGGTTCACGCAACATTTGCGAGCGCCAATATTTCCCCCGAGAGCCGGTTAACGCACCCCCTGCGAGCACAAGTTTCGCGTTTTCTCCTCGGCAAGGTATGCACGCGAACGCTGCCTGAACCGTCTCTTATCGTACAGCCGACCTTCGTTCCGTTTCGTGCAAAGTTTCACCGGAATTGGCAAGAAACTTTTTGAGTTATCGACCCGAAAGGAAAGTTAGTCACATCGAGGCCCTTCTTTCATTTCTTTGACTGGCGTCTGTTCTCGCAACACTTTGTCAGTACGATGGCAGCACATTTAATTTTAGTAAGTTTTGCAGCACTTGCAACACAATAAGGTCGAATATTAGGTGTTATAAGAGAGTAACAAACACAAAAAAAGAAGGAAGAGAGATCAGGACAATTGATCTTTGATAGCCGCCAACCACCTATTTGGCAGCACGAAAAGCAAACATTTTTCAAGTGTTCGCACGACTTTGGCAGTTCAGAAAATTCGGATTAAGATATTTTAGATGATGGGGATCCTGATTTCAATGTAAATGAGCATCAAAGCACTTATTCTGATAGCGAATGTTCTAGATCTAGACTCGGCAAAATTGTCTGGAGGCCAGTTTTTTTTCACACTGAAGTGGATTAGACAGCTAATACATAAGGATTACCATATTGATTACCGGCCTATTCATGAGTTTGGACTTTTTATTCATTTTGAAACACAAAACACAATAAAACACACACACAAGATTAATTGGGGGGGGGGGGGTTGTTGGGTTTTTTTTAGACATTACGTCAAAAATTTTTGTTGGGAGCTCAAGTGCGGTTAGCTCCTTCTTTCCAATCAAACTTTTGTCGTCTTTATCTCTCCTACTACTTTTCTGTGTAATTTACTCTCTAGTAACACCTCTAATCTTTAGCACTTATGGGATCTATTTGTGTTGTAAGTGCCGTAAAACTCTTACTACATTTTAAACTTTTCCTGTTTCTCTTACCATGGCCTGCTGGTCACCAGGGGGCAGAGTGGAAGCCCGGAGTACCTGACACATCTGTGGCAAGCAGTCGTCCACAGACGCGTAATTCAGAGAGAAAATGTGCTGGCACTCTTCCTGGAATGAGTCAGAGGTTAGTCAGTTGGTCTGAGTACAAAGGAAACGATTGGAACGTGAGAAAAAACTGCTAAAAACTGCAGCCTAAGGAAGACATTCTCAAGAACAAAGACAAATCTACCATCATTTCCCACAGATACGTCAAATTAACAAAGCCAAATAAGATCTTGTCAATTTGTTACTGTTTGAGCACTTAATCAGCAGCTTGCACTGTGTGCTTCTTGGGTAGCCCAGAATGTTTCTGAGTGTTCAGGGGTATTCTGGGGTAACAATGGTTGTAAATCGCATAGAAGCATGCTGTAGAGTGAGGATATGCACTATATAATGCAATTATTATTATTAGCTAAAGTCATATCGTCAGCCAGATGTTCAGATATAACAAGCCCAAAATTTTTATACCTTTTTTCTTTATTGGAGTTTCTTGATCTAAGATGAAGGTTGCAAGTGCATTAAAATTATTCTGTCGAAATTCAAATTCGAAATATGGGAAAAGAGCAAGAGAAGATAAATAATTTATGTACAATTTTTAAAAGAACGAAAGTTTTTTCTTTTTTCTGAAAAATGTTCCATTCTGGGCTTAGAACAGTTTAGAATAGCTTGCCAACTAATACAAAGAACATTGAACACAACATGCGATGACATAGCAGACAGCAGAACATCAGTTAATTCCAAACACCTACTGGCCTAATCAGCTACATGCACAATCAAACAAAGACCAATAAAGCACAGTCACTATGTAAATATTCTCTGTAGAGATGGAACACTGCCTTCTACTGTTTCATGGAGAAGCAAATCTGTCAGTACATTACTGATCAGTCATATTTTCCTGGTAAAATCTATGGCAGCCATTAAGTCAATCACCACACTGCACAAGTCAAAATGGCAAAACAAAATGTTTGAAGTAACTCCCTTCACCAAACTAAAAGACTCACACTTTTACAATTATAATATTGATTGACAGACAGAAAATTACATACCTTCTTAAATATAAACGGGGTAATGATATTCTTTTCCTTCATCTCAACAGTTTGATCAGCTGTTATCTTAATGACACGTTCAACTCTGCAATAAAAGAAAATTGTAAATTGGCTGAGTACAGACCATGCACTCATTTTATGATTAAATTTGTCACATTTGTATTACTTTACTTCACTAGAAAATTATGAAAATTATTTTTTTTCAAGACAAATCAATAACAAAGCTGATGATGATGAAGCTTAGGGTCAGAGATAAGGAAGCTGTAGAATCGTTGAAGTTATCATTGAGCAGGAAAGGTAATGTTTACATTCACAACAAGCGGATTGGAAGAAAAGCAAAACTGAAAAAGCTGGAGGAGTAGGTTACAGAACTGTACCAATTTCAAGTGAATTACAGTTACTGAGATTTCAATATAATACTATTATTAGTTAATACCCTAGAGATATCACAAAATGTGAAGCAGGCCGACAAAATGAGTTACTTCTTGCAATCCAAAAATGAAGATATCGGCCAAAAATCGACACTTGGGTCAGATTAATAGATTTTCAATTGATGCCATTTTGTTCAAGTCTACTATGTCTTTTATTATTCCATACTTACAAATTGTACAAACTCCTCCTACAGAGTTGGTGTATCAATTTCCATAAAATCCGAGAAATAACTCATTTTGTCAGCACGCCTCACAAATACAGAATAATCATTTGGCTAAAAAAAATTGCACCAGTATTCTGCCGTGTTACTTATTCTAAACTGAAAGGGTGTCTAAAAAAAGAGGACCCATTGAAAAGGCAATAACTCAGTCATCTCAGCACCAATTTCAATAAAACTTTGAGCAATCAGTTCTGCAATCAATATTGATAAGTCAGATTTATCAATATGAAGAAAATCAACCTACGCGTTCGAGAATAATCAAATTTCAAAAATTTCAACAAACACCGAGTAAAGAGCAAAACTTAACAACTTAAAATCAACCATATTGCGTATTTGCGCAAACTGACTTTGCCAAACAAATCCAGGGAAGGTGGTGGCTATTGGAAGTTATAGGCTACAGGACAGGTGTCACCACTTCTCTCCAGACAAGCTAAAATACCCTGCTGGAAATTTTTAATAACCCTGCAGCATGTCTCTGAATCAGTTCCTTGGACCTCCTGTTCAACTTTTGAGTTTCAACAGTTCAATTGTTTCTGAATCTGAATTGCTTCCATAGACTCCGCATTTCAAAAATCGCCCAAAAGAAAACATTCATCTTTTTATTTTGACACACTATGACAATTTTAGATTTTGATAAACTTATTCTTAAATGTAAATAATACAGCAAAAAATAAAAATCTTACTTGGTAAACAAGCCTCCGGACCACTCATCAATATCTTGCACAAATTTCAAAGGAAGCTGAAAAATGTAAAGAAAAGTGCGTAATGTTCACAAGCACTCGTTTTACTCAGTGAACTTGCAAGGAGGTGACCTGCGGTTACTAGTAGTGATACAAGGCAAATAGTTAGGAGATAAAATGCTTTGCTCTATGGTTGGACAAACGTGAAACAACAGGACAAAAGCTACAGCCACCTGTGGAATACGACAAACAAAGATGCACAAAGGTGTTGCAATCCTTACAAATTTAAAACACCACAATTATTACACAAAGACATCAAAAAAGAAAATCCAGTCTTATCAGTTGTTCGTATAAGTAGTGAGTCACTAAACTTTCTGATTTTCTCCCCAATTCAGTAATGGCATAGAGTGAGTCTATCCTTTGAGTTGAGACTTTATCGTCGTAATGTACACATGATATCACCCACTGCACTGTGGGCACCACAAGGACAAGGACGTCCAACCATACACTATTCTTTTAGTTTAAGTAAGAGTTTTACGGCCCTTGCAACACAATATGGTCATATAAGTGTTGAATATTAGAGGTTTTACAAGAGAGTAACAAACACAAAAAAGTAGGAGGAGAGATCAGGAAGACAGACGTTTGGTAGGAAAGAAGGAGCAAACCACACCAGAGCCCTCGCCAACCACCCGCACAATATTCTTAATTTTATATCAACATAATGAGGAGGAAAAGAAAAAACAATATTCTATTGTTGACCTGCACAAAGAAATTCTTTTTTCCCACAGAAAAATATAATGCAATCATAATACATGAGAAAATAAACATTAAAATAAAAGAGCTCTTTTCAAGCTATGGTCAAAGTTTCCTGTTCAAGGATACACAACAGTAGCAACACATTTTATCTAACACTAACAAACGTGATATTCTCATAGTCCTTTTCTTGCTTGTTTTTGAACCACTTGAACTGTTAGCCACAATAGCAGAAAAAAGTAATAATGCATATCAAATAATTCAGTGTCTATGAGACTTGTCTTTGAGTTACATACACCAGTTATTACACTATTCAAAAAGCAACTGGAGCAGTAATAAATCTGCACCCAATAAACAGTCCTCATTCTTCTCCACCATTCAAATATATAAATGTAAAACTTTTCGTTGTATATAAACTTCAAAGATAAATTCACCAGTGAAATAATATAAATCTGCAGGCCATCTTTGGTCAAATTTCCACAACTATCTTCAGATTTTTACTTACTTTCAAAATGGGAAACTGGATTTCCTTGGGCACGAAAACAATGGACTTGGAGCAGAGCTTAAGGTGACCTCTCTGTCGCCTGCGTCATGTAAACAAGAAAAGAGAAACAATTTTCAAATCTATCTCTATGACAAAAGTTGTTTTTTTAACAGGATCGTGTAATTTTTATAACCATAATTGAAACAAAACAGCAAAAATGTTTGCGTTGGTAAGTGTTTTACAGCACTCACAACTGCATAAGGTCATTAAGCGCGCGGGACACATTGAACATTTTTGGTAGAGGAATCAGTTTGAATTTTGCCCGTGTGACAGCTGAAGCCTACTCTTATCGATTTTGGATCACCAAGGGAACTTTAACGACGCCGAGCATGACTTGCATGGTGGACCTCCAAGATTTTTCGTCCTTATCTGAGAAGGCAAGTTGTTAGATCTAACCTACCCTAAGATCAAGGGTACGGCTGAAAGACAGCAGGAAAAAGAGCCAAGGAGTAGCAATAGAAAGGCTGGAGAAAGTCAGAAATCTGCCCCTAAAAAAACCCCCCGGGGGGGGGGGGGGGGGGGGGGGGGGGCAGAGAGTAAAGACGAAAGCAGACGAACAGAATAGGGTTAGAGAACAGGAAAGGAGGTGAAAGTAGAAAACTTAGAGAAGAAAATTTTCCGTCGTCTATTGAATTAGAGGCGAACACAGTAACCTCTTGATCACAAGAGCCTACCAAAATACAATTCAATACAACAAAGTGTGCACAATGAAATAAAAGAGAAGATAAGCTCTTAGATTTTTTTGTAAAATTACTACTAGAGACAGGCACATAAAAGATATAGCGAAAGGGAATCACACCTACATTTTTATCTCTTACTAGAACAATGGTAACAGTCAGTAAGTAGGTACAATAAAAAGTTTATTGCAATATATATCTAATAATATAGGACATTTTAATGACATAATTTCTGCTTATTGAAAATATTATTCTGCCACTGACATGCAAAGGAACTTATAAAACTATTTATTTATTTTATGCATGAAATATGTTACAACACTCTTCAACAACAACTTAATTGAAACGAAATCCCACCTGCTGATGGCTTGCTCCTGTGACAGCCCCGATGGGTAATAATAGACACTGAAGTCTTCATAGTAAATCTCTCCTGGTTCCAAGAGAAGAAGGGAGAATCTGGAATGACAGAATAAATCTTAATAAACTGTTTGCATGGAATTTTAAAACAGCTTTTTCAGTCTGCTTCAAATAAAGTTTGTAAAGTTCTCCAATAGTATGCACCCATAATAACATACATTCAAGCACCCACTCATTGTGAAATCAGTGGGAAGCAGAAATCTTTTGGTAGAACAAATTACACTACTAATATTTATGTACATGTTGACAAAGAATAACAATAAAACTTGCTCTGACTGCCAACTATATAAAGGCAATCACCTGTACAAACGGCCACTTCCCATTTCCCCCCCTTGCATGTTTTTGCATTACAATGACACTGTATAAGATGTCAACCTGTCTAACACAGCCACTTTCTCCAAGACAATGATGGCTGATGGGCAATTGGCTTAATTGAGACTTATACAATTTTGACTGAATAATTTCCAGACCTGAAAATCTGTTTGCTTTGGACATGTCCACTATGTGCATTCCAAACAGTATAGCAGCATGCCTACAGCTCAACAATCACTCGATTGTTTTTTTAAACAGATCATGGCAGCGGAGGGAAGGAAGTTTAGTCTTGTTGAGAGGTAGAAAAAGGCTTGGAGAAAAGGCTGCGTCGATCCGGACACGATGACGTGTCCATTTAAGCTCTCATGTATATTCGGAAACGTGTGTCTTTCTACTATAGCATGAACGCGAGAAGGTGCATAGCGGGTCTTTTTCTTTTTTGCTTCTCCATCTTTTTGGACCAATGCATCTTTGAAGTTTGCATAAAATTGCTGTGACCATGAAATGCGCAATCGACGTTGGAGGGTGCTGAAAACCAATCTCAACCAGAAAAGACCTTGGGGGGCAGGGCTGAGGTTCCACAGGATCGTGTCCGTATCCGAATAGTCACATCGTAGAGAAAAACAGTTGAGAGAGATGAAGAAACAAACCAAAAATAAATTTAGAATGTAATTTCGATCTCTAACATAAAATTTTAAAACCAAGTGACTATTTCTCCGAACGCTCCGGAAAATAAACTTGATCTCTCTTTCCCTGACCTGTTTACGTTCTCGAGATTTTTTTGTTATTTGCGAGAGTTCGGCATCATCTCTCATTCTGCCATTCTGCGAGGACTGGGAAGAAGCATTTGTGCATCAAATTTAATTTCTAGAGCTAGAGATTTTTAGATGTCTGAATATTCAGATACTTCAATTGCACTTACTTACTTACTTTATTTGGTTGCGACAACGTTCCCGGACTATGCTTTATTTGAAATGCTTTCAAAAAGGTACTGCAAGAAAACAAGACTGCTCTACTTTGGCAGTAACAGCGATGCCAACCACAGAAAACCGAAATGAGTATTGGGAAATATGAAAATGTGTATTTTCAGGAGAAAATGTGCATTCCCCACGACCAACCAACTAGTAAGAGTAAAATGTTAAGGGGGTCCAGCAAAATTTCCTGAAAAAAAATTACTAGCTCACCAGCACGAAAAAAGGAGCACACATGCGTACAATATACATGTATCCAGTCAACAACATGTTAGTGTTCAATGTCGTACTGGGGTCTTGTTTGACTTAAGTATTTCAGTCTATTTTATACCTGTAATATTTTCCTCTCATTATTTTATATATAAAAAATAAATCCTGCTTTGAGAGTTCGGAAGGGCCTAGAACAAATATTTCGACTATCAAGAACCTTTCTGGGTGTCATGATTCATATTATGAACTGACAGACTCAAATTATTGCTCAAACTCAGAGAAAAGCGATAACTTGAATGGCTTTAAGTAGACCCATGCACTGTGACAGTAGTAACAACTGTGGTAAGGTAAGATGCAGTGACACTGAAAATCTACCAGTCTTGAACAGAAAGCTACAACATACACTGTAGGTATAATTTACTATCACCCATCCAATAAAACGCGAACACATTATTTCAATAACACAGACTTGCAAAGTATGAAGGGTCCCGATTCCGCACATGGCCTGCACCAACGCGCGCTTTGCAGAAAGCTCTAATCAAAATTCTGAAATGTGCTTCCCAAGTTTTTGTCCTCTGGTGTAGCCTTCACACCCTCCCCCATAGTATTTTAAACCCCCAAAAAATCAATAATCTCTTCCCCTATTCCGTAGTCCTATACTTCGCAAGGCTGTTACTCCCACCAAAGACGGTCTTTGCTCAAACGATGCCGCATTTATTTATGATGCGAATGCGTGCAGGTTCAGTGACCGGTCATGATGCCGAGCCCGACAATCTAAAAATTGGACGACGCTTGTATTTTCTTTTCTTTTTTTTCCACAAGTGAGAGCACAGAAGCGAGTCCGAGCATTGATTAAATTTTATTTGCACGGCGACATTGCGTTTGTACTGCACAACCTGCAAGTCACAAATGTTGCGTTATCAGACAACTGCTGGCAAACTACTCGGATAGGCCTAACGAAAGCGAAAGTAGATCTTGATTTTCCCGATCGAGCCTCGGTGTCACATACGCTTCCGCCTGCCGCCATAGCTGCCTATTCACGTGAAAGTGAAACGTACTCTCCGGACCGGGAAAAGCTGAACGAATATTACTTGCCCAAGCTAAATCTCGTACTTTTCGCATTCCAGGATGCGTATTTTTTTCATAAAAAGTCGTATGCTCGTATTTTCGGCAAAAAATCATACTAAAATACATAAAATTGTACTGGTTGGCATCTCTGCAGAAACCTTTAGCATCTGGTCACCCCTAAAGCAAAGACTAACCCCCCCCCCCCC